TTTAACAACAAATGTTCACCAACGCAAATAAGAAAGGCAGCGAAACTACTGCATGTACAACATAAAGGCCAACGACTAAACGTTCTAGAAAATATGGAAATATACAAACTAAAAACCTTCGACGGCAAAATAATAAACGAACAAACAAATACCGCATCGGATGTTATATTCGAACCCTTAAAATTGATTTACGAAAAAAAGAAAAATGACAACAAAACAACAGGCATGGACACTTCGAACACACCAAAAAGCACCACCAGGGCAAAAATCACTGACTTTTACCTACCTGCAGGCAAAAACCATACAGCGACAACATAATGGATGTTAATACCGAAACAGCGAAGATGATCCTATTACCTGTTTCAAAAAAATGGGCACCATGGCATATCTAGTAATTAATCATCGACGAAAATCACATTACCTAAGATAAATGAACATAAATTAGGGACAAATCTCGAACCAGACAGAACGAAAAATTACACTGAAGATGGCACAACGCCGAAACCGGTTTGTCTGCAAACCAAACTTGACAAGGGATGACGGAAATTCGTTCCAAAATAAATCACCTTATATATGTATTGAAGATGAAGATGAGGGTCCCCGGTTACAGGTTTTGGGCATCCCAGTCAGAGCAGCCCATGCTTTTGTTTAACAAAAAATGGGATGAAGAGGATGACAATGGAAAATTCCTAACCGTTTGTGGCGGGGAAATTGAAGAGTACATAATGGAGCAACATCAAAACCAACATGAATATGAAAGAAGGAGTTTAGATATTAAGACTAAATTAAAGTAGGGAAGCGATGTATGATATAGAAGTTTATTCTAAATCATATAATAATATTGTATTTGAATATAACTTAACTGTAGAATTAGTATTTAGAAATTTAAAATTTAATTATATAGAACCATAGATTTATTAAAAAACTTCAGCGTTTATTTGAATATAATATTATTTTATATGAGAGTTATTTATGAAAAAATGTTTATTCATAAATCGTTAGTCGTTGGAAACTGTTTTATAAATAATATAATTAATATGCTTCCTATTGAACTTCATTTGCCTAGTTATCAATTTTATGGACCTGGAACGAAACTACGGAAACTTTTAGTAAGAGGAGATTGAGGGATTAATCTACTAGACACTGCTTGTAGAGAACATGATATATCATATTTATATAATAAAGATTTAGATATCGGACATATTGCTGATAAAAAATTAATTAAGAAGGTTTGGGAAAGAGTTAAAGCGAAGGATAGCAATCTTAATGAGAAAACGAATGCGTGGTTAGTTATAAATATAATGAAGACAAAAACGAAATTCGGTACGGGGAACGCTTATAGTAAAACTAAAAAAGTGGGAGGAAAAACTGGTTATCTGCTCTTCAATCATGCCTTAAAAAGTGCTAAACAAGATTTAAAGAAAAGTGATAACTTAAAAGATGTCATAAAAATTTCACGAAAGGTTGTAAATAATATTTTCAGAGGAAAAAAATCTATAATAAAAACACCACGTGTAATATCATTACCTAAATCTGGAGGATTTCTCACATTAGCGCCCTTAATCGTAGCATTAGGAGCACTTGGAAGTCTATCTGGCGGTATAGCAGGAGTTATTAAAACAATCAATGCTATAAAAACTGGAAAGAAGCAGTTATTGGAGGCGAAACGTCATAATAATACAATGGAAGCTATTTCAATGGGAAAAGATATATTCTTTAGGGAATAGTGTTGCAAATAAACTAAATTCCTAATGCCCAACTCCTGGTCGAAAGAAAACAACTTGCTTTGATATTAACGAAGTGATTTTAATTGTAAGTTTTAGCAATTCCAAGAAATAGGCTTTTCCAGAAAAAATACGCAGTAATAATTCGCGCTTCTCCCAAGAGAAGATATATCTCTCTAACGATGAATAATCGATAGAGCTACCTTACTGGCAGAGTTGCCGCTGTTTGTGGAGTTCCCACAGTACTCCCTCTCTAGTGACTGCGTCACGATTATTCGAAGTGTACACGGTGTTGCCTACCATTTGCTGGTTAACGTGACGATCATCTCTAATGAAGAACGCTGGTTTAAGTCGGTCTACTGAAACGGCTACCACTTTGTCATTGATCTTCACCTTGTATACCCTCTCGTTTTCTCTTTGAACAACTTCGAACGGACCAGTGTACGGCGGCTCGAGAGGTTGCTTTACAGCATCGGACCGGATGAACACATGCGAGAATTTTTCGATGCCCTTGAGTAAAAACATTTTCTCCTTAACACGGTGGACTGTTGGGCTTGGTCGTATCTGACGTATGTGTTGTCGGAGATAGTTCAGGAATGTTGCTGATGCCACATCTGCTTCGACGTCATCAAAAAATTCATTAGGGACTCGTAGTGGTGCGCCATACAGCATTTCAGCGGTGGATGCTCCCAAGGATTCTTTATAACAGGAACGCAGTCCAAGCAAAACAGTTGGTAATAGATCAATCCAGGGCAACTCGTCATTGCACATGAGCGCCGCCTTGAACGTTCTGTGCCACCGTTCAACCAACCCATTGGACTGCGGGTAATAAGCCGTGGTATGGATGTGCTTGCTTCCCATAAGCTTCGCCAGTTCTTTGAATACAGCTGACTCGACCTGCGTCCCTTGATCCGTCGTAATCGTCTTTGGAGTCCCAAAGCGTGCTACCCAATGCGTCCAAAAAGCAGTTGCAACAGTTTCTGCAGTGATGTTTGTTAATGGCACGGCTTCTGGCCAACGAGAAAACCGATCAATCATCGTGAGGCAGTATCGAAAATTTCGTCGTAACGGCATGACCACAATGTCTAGGTGTACATGGTCGAAACGAGCGTCTGGAACAATAATCTTTTCTGGCGTTAGATGATTATGCCTGCTGATTTTTACCCGTTGACAAGGTAAACAGCTTCTGCACCACTGAATCACATCCTTATTCATCGCTTGCCAGACATATGTCTGACGTATTTGTTGTAGCGTTGATCTGCCACTCGGATGAGCGAGACCATGAACAGAGGCAAACACTTGATGTCGTAGGCTTCCCGGAACATAAGGACGAACGTAGCCGGTCGAGGTGTCACAGTAAAGCGTTACATTGTCGCCGTACCTTATTGACTTCAACTTTAACGATGTGCTTCCGTTTAGCAACTGTGTTAGTTCAAGGTCAGCAGCCTGGGCCTCGGCGATTTTACTTAAATTGACAGCCGTCGGCATAGTGATTGCGCATAACCTAGACAAGGCGTTTGCGACAACGTTGTCTGCGCCCTGCACATGAACGATTGCGGTGGAAAACTGTGAAATGTAACATAGTTGTCGTTGTTGATGAGGTGATGCTTTTTCTAGCCGCTGCTTAAATGCATAAACTAGAGGCTTGTGATCCGTTTTGATCACAAAGATGCGTGCTTAAATCAAGTGCTATAATTCTTCTCCGATTCGCTCAGTTTCCTTGAAAAGAACCCAAGTGGTCGCCAATCCTCATCCGTCTGCTATTCCAAAACTGCCCCCACGGCGACATCAGACGCATCATACACCAGAGCCAATTTCGCTCCGGGATCTGGGTACGCCAGTTGTGCAGCATCAGCCACACTGCGCTTACAGGCGTCGAATGCACGAACGAGCTCAGATGTCCAGTCCACCTCCCGTTTGTCGTTCTTTTTGACATTTCTCAGCAACTCCGTTAGCGGTGCTTGAATGTGCGAGGAATGCGGTAAACATATGCGATAATAATTTACGACACCAAGAAAACGACCCAAATCGCTGATTGTCTTTGGACGTTTGTAGTCCGTGATAACCGCAATTCGATCCGCCGGAGGTTTGATGCCGTGTTCGCTGATCACATAGCTGAGGAACCGCACCTCTGACTGTGCAATCTGACATTTGCTGACGTTGATGTGCAATCCGTACTTTCTGAGGATCTGAAAAACTGTGCGAAGGTGTTGCTCATGTTCCATCATTGTCTCCGACATTATGAGTATATCATCGATATAACAATATACGAATTCAATACCCCGAAAACTGTCGTCCATAAATCTCTGAAACGTTTGTGTAGCGTTTTTAAGTCCAAAAGGCATGAACAGAAACTCTACTAAACCAAATGGGGTACAAACCGCAGTCTTCTTAATATCATCTTCCGCCATCGGAATCTGATAGTAAGCTTTTACTAGATCGAGAGCCGAGAAAACCTTTTTCCCGTTTAATTTATCAGTGAAATCGTGCAAGTGCGCGATTGGATATCGATCCGGCATAGTGATTGCGTTGAGTTTACGATAGTCCCCACACGCACGCCAGCCACCATCTTTTTTCGCTACCATATGAAGGGGACTTGACCACGAACTCTTAGAGGGTCGACAAATTCCCTGTTCGATGAGAAAATTGATTTCAGCTTTAGCAGTGGCCAACTTTCGCCTGCCAAACGACGAGGTCGCTCTGATACTGGTGCTCCCTGTGTCTCAATGTAATGGAAGACTTGATGCTTCGCGTGGTTAGCCTTGACAGAGGGGTTTGTCACATCAACAAATTCGCGAAACAGGTTAGGAAATTTTGTCATACTCTGTAACGTGGAAACAGAATCTTGTTCCACCCTAGTCAAACCTGCGATGGTCTTAAGGCCAGTGACCGAGTCGATTAGTTGCTGGTTTTTGAGATCGACCAGTAGTTGAAAATTCGTCAAAAAATCCGCACCGATGATTGCTGCTTGGACATCGGCAATTATGAATGGCCACTTAAAACTACGTCGAAGTCCCAAATTCAAATGAACCACAATGGTCCCGTATGTGTGTATTGTTGTTTGATTCGCCGCATACAAGAGTAAGTCTACTTGATTGGTCTTGTGCGTAACTTGCATACGCGGAAGAACTGAGACGACCGAACCCGAATCGATAAGGAAATGTGTATGCGAAATACTGTCGAAAACGTGTAATCTCGTCTCTCGGACGGTGATCGCTTGATTTTCGCTGGTAGAAACTACACTGTCGTCCGACAACGTTCCTGACAACAGCTGTGCTAGTTTAACGAAGAACGCGTACAAGGGGGTCGACACTTTCGGGCAGCATCGCCGAACTTTTGGTGGTAGTAACAGAGTCTATCCCTATGCCCATCTGTTTGCCGAGATGGTTGACCAGGACCAGGAGACTGGCTACGTGTACGGCTACGTGGCCGATTTTGAGAGCGGTTGACAGACTGTAAACGTTTGATATCGTTCTGTAAGCTGTCCACTTTTTGCGTAAGTAAACGAACCGAATCGTTGATATTCTTGGAGGCACCAGCTGGTGCTACAGCATTTACAGCTTCGTCGGGTACTTTCGGTGGTGTTGATGCTACTGCGAACGTAGTGTTTGTACCAATGGCCTCGAGCATCTTATCTGCAATTTTCGCAAGCTTATGCAGATCAGTTTCTTCCCACACTGTTAGAAGTGGTCGAATCGACTGCGGCAGCTCCGATAAAAAAAGTGTAAGGATTATGCTTTCACTACTCGGGTCAGGCGCAAGGCGTCGCATGTGAGCAAGCACCTCGGATGGCTTCAAGCCTGCTGTACCTCCACCTTGCAACAACCGACGCAGCTTCGATTCTGGAGATTCTGCGAACTTCTCCAGTAACCGCTTCTTGAGAACCTCATATTTCTCCGATGCCGGTGGGCGAGCAACCAGATCCTCTACGGCTAGCAAAACTTCCTCTTCCAACTGCACTGTTACCAGATCGAATTTATCAACATCTTCGTTAATGCCATGCAGACGAAAAGAACGTTCTACTTGTGCAAACCATAGATGTGGATTCGCCCGAGTGAACTTCGGCAAGTGAATCGCTATGCGCTGTGTGGAAAGACTAGGAGCACTTGGTGGCACCGAAGCACCCACACGTAGCGCTTCCAATTGGGCTTGGAGCTCTCGTATCTGGTCGGTTAGCTCTTGCGTCGTCAATTTTCTTCTTTTTAAATTTCGTAGATTATATCGCGGAGTGTGCATAAATTGACGACTTGATGAATTCGGTAACCATCAATTCGTGCTCTTCCAAAAAAGTCATCGGGGTCACCAATTTAGGGAATAGTGTTGCAAATAACACTAAATTCCTAATGCCCAACGCCTGGTCGAAAGAAAACAACTTGCTTTGATATTAACGAAGTGATTTTAATTGTAAGTTTTAGCAATTCCAAGAAATAGGCTTTTCCAGAAAAAATACGCAGTAATAATTCGCGCTTCTCCCAAGAGAAGATATATCTCACCGATAACGATGAATAATCGATAGAGCTACCTTACTGGCAGAGTTGCCGCTGTTTGTGGAGTTCCCACAATTCTTAAAGCCTTCTTAAAGGGATTCGGATTATACTTAAAGCCATATCAAAAAAAACTCTTAATGAAGCTACCTAGAAGACCTCTTACTGATGTAGACTTGAAGAAGTATTCAAAATTTATTCTAAATTTTAGAGGGGTATTCATGTGTGACACTTTACCACGTAAACTATTTAAGAGAGAATGTGGAATAATAAATATGGGTAGTTCAAATACTGGAAAACGATAATGAGATTGATTATTTCGATAGCTTTGGAAAAACTGATAGCCTCCCGAACATTTAATAAAGTATATAGGAAAAACATTAAACATAACTATAATAAACAGCAAAGCTATAATTAACATAACTGCGGACATTTATGTTTAAAACTCTTATTATCAAAATAAATAAGTAATTATAAAAATCTCTTTTATTTCAAATTAAATTTTATTTGTTCACATCACCAACATCATCAGACCTTTCCATTCATATATATACTAGAAAAACGATAATGAGATTGATTACTTCGATGGCTTTGGAAACTTACAGCCTCCTAAGCAAATAATAAAGTATTTAGGAAAAGACATTAAATATAACTATAATAAACAACAAAGCTATAATTCATATAATTGCGGACATTTATGTTTAAAATTCTTATTATCAAAATAATTAAGTAATTATAAAGCTTTCTTTTACTTCAAATTAAATTTTATTTGTTCTCATCATCAACATCAACAGGCCTTTCCATTCATATACACATACATATTAAATACTTAGCAATTAACTATGTGAACATTATTAATTATCGGTTATGAGCGAATTTGATATACAATTTAAAGCAAATAAATCAGACTTTGATAAAATTACTAAGCGAATTTTGCAAAATAGACCATTGTCTACGAATGCGAAAAAGTTAAACGAGTACAAATATTCGCTTATTACTGCTTACAATAATATTTTACTACTAGTTATTGGCAATAGTTCGGCCCATACCTCAAGGAAGTTCAAGTTAAGTTAGGCCGTTGTAAGGAACAGTTAGCCAAGTGTTTTACTAGACTGAACAGCCGCGTTAGGATTCCGCCTGATAGCCTATCGCTCATTTGCCAATCAGACTTATCTGACTCTGAGTCAGAAGAAGAATTTAGGGACGCCAAGTCAGAAGCTTCGGTACAATTCAATCTTAAAAGAAGTACTTCACTTCCATCCTTTAAAGATCTGCTAACAGTATCCGACGAGCCGTCAACAGCTACCAGTTCACCAAATATTTCGACAATTTTTAAAGAATTTTTAGACATGGCTACCCCTGAACAGAAGAAATCCTTTATTAGACTTTGTGCCTCAATCACTAGGGAAAATTACAACGGGGATCCGCTAGCAATTGAATCGTTTATAGTTAAAATTAATTCAATTGAAGATTTTGCAGACGAAAATTTAAATACAGCTTTTATATCATTTTTGAAATCGAAGCTCGAAGGAAAAGCACGTGAAGCAATTCCAACCGAAGTTAATCCTGTTAGACAAATCAAAGATGCGTTGAGAAATAGAATAAAGCCAGACAACTCGAAAGTTGTAGCTGGGAAAATTGCATACTTTCATGTCATAAACAACAACTATACGGAATTTGCTAAGCGTGTCGAGGAGCTTTCGGATGCATTAGAGCGTTCTTTGATCATTGAAAGTATGACACAGTCTAAGGCTCATGAAGTGGCAGTCGAACAAACAGCTAACGTTTGTAGACTTAATACTCGATCAGATTTGGTCAAATTAATTTTATCGTCAACTACCTTCAGTGATTCAAAGGACGTAGTGGCAAAAATTATAGTCGAACAAAATAATCAAGTGAAAGAGCGTCAAGTGTTAGCGTTTCAATCCCGGTTAAATAGGCCAAATATTTTTATAGGTAGTTTCAGAGGCCACATTTTTAACAGGTACAACAATAATAATTTCAGGCAAAACAATACTAACTTCAGTAGGCACAGTAATAACAGTAATAACGGCAGATACAATAACAGTGCTAGGGGCAGCGGTAATAATTTTAATTCCAATAATCGGAATTCAAATAATAGAAATCGAAAAAACAATGCTAATAATAATAGACGTACAAACTCACGCAATAATGCTAATGTGCGCGCTTTAAAAGCACACGCCCCTAAGGAGCGAACACTGAGGGCGGAAGAATTGGACAATTAAACAATTTTTTTCAACAAAGGGCATTTATTTCTTAAATCTGAAATAGTCCGACTTTATCGAATTGAAAATTAATCGGTCAAACAAATTTTGTACGTTTTTCATTTCTTTAATAAAAATTTCTAGCACTGACAAACATTTTTCTACAAATAAATGCGAATGATATAATTCACATTACCGGTGTCACTACCAATACTGTTTCTACTTTAGGTACGATTACCGCAAACTTGACTTTTACTGATTTTTGCATTAAACATACTTTACATGTAGTAAACGATGACTTTAACATACCATCTGACGGTATATTGGGTAAAGATTTTCCAAAAAGTAACAAATGCGTTATTAGCTATGCTATTTCCTTCTGGGTAGGCATTGAAAAAGTCGCGATACCAATCCTACACGGAACCGAAAGCGACACTTGAATCATACCACCCAGATGCGAAGTTTATCGAATTTTCGATTTAGGCCATTCGCCAGATCTGCTTTTTGTAGAATCGCAAGAAGTTGAACACGGTGTATTCACAGCAAGATGTATAGTTAATAGCAGTAACCCAATTACTAAAATCATAAATAACACAGATGACGTGAAACGTGTAAAGAATGTTAATATTCGGACTGAAAAACTTTCTGTTATGACGTTTACTCAATTAATAAGACCAAGACAGAAGACTCACGAACGAACGAATTAACAAATATTTTGAGAAACCAAATCCCTACAGAAGCTCACAGCAATTTATTTGACCTTTGCATAAAACATGCCGACATTTTCGCTCTTGACAATGACAAAATGACACTTAACAATTTTTACGAACAAAAACTTAGATTGACTGACACTGACCCGGTATATGTAAAAAACTATCGTCTGCCATATTCCCAACGTGAAGAATAAATCGCCAAGCTAATAAATTACTAGATAACGATTTAATTTAAGGAAGTTATTCCAATTACAATAGTCCTCTAATTTTTGGTTGGTAAATCGCCAAGATAATAAATTACTAGAAAACGATTTAATTCCAATTACAATAGTCCTCTAATTTTGGTTCCTAAAAAATCTACTAATGGTCAAAAAGCATATCGTATGTGCGTTGATTTCCGCGCAGTCAACAAAAAACTTATTGCGGATGAATTCCCTCTCGCACGAGTTGACGATATTCTAGACAATCTTGGCAGAGCTAAATATTTTACTACTTTAGATCTTTTTTCTGGATTTCTCCGAATCCCCTTACATGAGGACTCACGTGATATAACTTCTTTTAGCACAGACCGCGGAGCATATCGATGGAAAGTATTACCATTCGGTCCTAGTATAGCACCCAACTCATTCTCACGAATGATGAGTATAGTTTTTTCTGGTATTCCACTCAACGTAGCATTTCTATATGTAGACGACATTATTGTTATAGGCTGCAGTGAAGCACATCACATTAAAAATTTAGCAAAAGTTTTCGACACTTGTCGAAGCTTCAACCTAAAACTTAACCTGAATAAATGCAATTTCTTCGGCCGGAAGTTACTTTCCTAGGCCATAAATGTGCAGCTAAGGGTCTGTTGCCCGACGACACTAAAATAAACGCCAATAAAAAGTATACAAAGCCGACTGACAAGGACGTGGTTCGACGTTTTGTCGCGTTTGCTAATTATTACAGGCGGTTATACCAAATTTTGCGTCTTTGGCAGCGCCTTTAAATAAATTAGGCTGAAAAAAAGTTGAATTTATTTGGGACAGTGCCCGCGAAAAAGCTTTTGAATCTTTAAAAGCAGCATTAATTTCGCCAAAATTGCTACAATACCCCGACTTCACTAAACTATTTAATATTACTGTCGATGCCTCGAAGGTTGGGTGTGGTGCTATACTAAGCCAAAACCATGATGGAAATGATTTACCGATATGTTTTGCTTCAAAGGCATTTAACAATGCAGAACAGAAAAAACCAATTATTGAATTAGAACTTTTAGCAATATACTTTGCCATCAAACAGTTTCGACCATACGTTTATGGGACGCATTTTGTAGTAAAATCAGACCACAGACCAATAGAATACTTGTTCAATATGAAAGACCCCTCTTCAAAACTTTCAAGAATAAGGTTAGAACTAGCAGAGTGCAATTTTACAATCGAATATATTAAAGGAAAATTAAATGTTGACGCAGATGCACTCTCACGTATAACGATCGACGAAATAAGGGAATCAACGAAAAGTATTTTGACGAAAAAATGACAAAATGATACAAAATATAGATTAAAACGAAAATGAAAAACAGGAGACATTAAACGTTTATGATACATTTTCTTACAACTTTTCAAAAAAGATACCGCGTATTACATCAGAAATTACTTATGATAAAGATGATAAAATTAAAAATTTACGAATTTACATATTAAACATAAAAAACTCGAGTTACTTAGTTATGTATTTACTAACGAAATAATGAATTTCGATGATTTACTTTCGAGGCTTGAAATTGAAGCCAGCAAAAGCAAAATTAAGGAGATTGAATGGCCAAAAGACGACGAATTTTTCCGTCATTTCACAATTGCTAGCTTAAAAAATCGCGGAAATAGAATATTTCATATTATATTAACAGATCCTGTCGAAATAGTGACTGACGACGAAAAGAAACTCCAACTTATGACAATCTACCATAACGACCCAATGAGTAGAGGACATTGCGGACTCAAAAGTCTCTATGCAAAAATTCGTACTAAATGCTTCTGGAAAAATATGACCCGTGACGTATCAAAATTTGTAAAAAGTTGCGAAAAATGTTTACTGAACAAAGTTAAACCTAAAAACAAAGAAAATCTGTTTTCTACACCAAGTAAACCTTTTGAAGAAGTAATTATTGACACAATAGGCCCTTTGCCAGAAAAGCGATATGGTAACAAGTTCGCTGTCACCATAATCTGCGATCTAACAAAATACTTACACCCCTATGCTGTAATCCGAAAGTTCGTAGTTACGAATTCGTAGCTCCGTTCCGAAAATTGGTATGCTGTAATCCGATCGTAACTATCAATGGCGTTGCCAACTAAAATAGTGAAATTCGAAGTTCTTAATCAGCTGCTTTGACAGAAACAAATCAAAATAAATATAATCGCAAGTGAACAGTGAAATTAAAAAAGTTGTTTAATGGTATTTGAAAAAGCTTTTCCTTAATTAAGTAAAATTTAATGGATTCAGTGGCCGGTGCACTTTTGTCTCAGGAGGAAGAACATGCTGCAGTCAACTGTTGCATTAATATACAAAGGAGATTGCTACGAGACAGTTCTGATCCATTTAGCTTAAATGATAAAATGTAAGTTTTATAATTGATTTCACTGATACACACATAAACTAATCGTTTAAATGTTTAAAGATTTGTAAAAAATTTCCTCCTCAACAAAGACGCATTTAAAAGCGTTTTAACAATTATGGAGGAAGAGCTTGGGCGAAGTGTAAAATCATCATTGGTGACTACTATAAGTAGATTGATGGCAGTTTGGAGATTTTTCGCTGAAGGAAGCTACCAACACTGTGTTGGGAAAGATTTTGATGGAAGGTTGGCGCAATCCACGTTCTGAAAAACATTGACAAAAACTTTAAACATCTTGGAGCGCCGACTGTGCCCAGTATGGATTCAATTGTCAATGACGGAGGAGGAGAATAAACGAGCCAAAATGTGGTTTTACAGGAGAACGCAATTCCCTGGCGTTGTTATGTGTGTGGCACATTAAAATACTTCCTCCTGCAGACGAACCGTATTTGTACTACAATCGTAAGGGATACTACAGCCTAAATGCAATGGTGTTAAGTAAAACCACAAGAGCAAAGTGATTTTGTACGTGCAATTTATCGTAAATGTATTAAATAGATTTCCGATAACAAGATGCAAATAAGGTGTGTTGATGCTCGGTTTCCAGGCAGTAGCCACGACTCACATGAGTGAAATGTAAGCGCTGCAAAAACCTATTTTGAAGTGAGATATCGGCGAGGAGACAAAACAACTTGGATATTAGGTATGTTATAAGTGGAATGAGAGCAAAATGTGTTAAATATAACTAAAAATATTTTGTTTAACGGGCGATGCTGGATATCCATTACAGCTATGGTTAATTACAGCATTCCGTTCTCCTGTGGCAGGAAGTCGAGAAAGCGCCTTCAACAAAACGCACAGTAAAGCGCGCAACATAGTCGAGAGAGTCATCGGCGTTTTGAAAAATAGATTTCGATGCCTGCTCAGTGCTCGCCAACTACATTATTCGCCCAAAAAGTGGTATAAATAATTAATGTGGTATGAGCATTGCATAACATGTGCATCCACTACAACGTGGAAGATAATACACCTGATATTATGGATGATGAATATGAAGATGTTAATGAAGAGGAAGCGCCATCAGAATTTTCCAGAGAAGCGTCAGACATAAGAATGCGAATTTTGAGATCATTACCTAACTAATGAAAACAATCCCATAACTTTGCACTTCATATTTATTTGATATAAAAAAAATTTAAAATAAATTCAGTTCTTTGTTTTCTTAAATCTAATAGTTTGTACATATATACAGTTATCACAAGCGTAAGTTCATCTCTTTAGTTCAGTTCTTTTCTTAAATCTAATAGGTTTATGTATATATATCACAAGCGTTAGTTCATTTCTTTAGTTCAGTTCTTTTCTTAAATCTAATAGTTTATACATATATACAGATATCACAAACGTTAGTTCACTTCTTTAGTTCAGTTATATTCTTAAATCTAATACTCTTAAATTCAATAATCTTTAAATAAAAAGAATTAAAAAATCAGTAGTTCAATGCAAAATTAAATTAAATTCAAAATTAAAAAAATCTAAAAAAAAATGTATCTATTCATTTTTGCTGGCTTCTTTCTTGTATCCGCAGTAATTTTTCCTGCAAATCAAGCTCCCTTCTTTTAAGGGCCTCCATTTCAATATTGTGCCGCTTTAATTCACGCAATTTTTCTTTCTTCATGTCATGCATGTTTTCTTGCACTTGGTACATGCGTCGCACGTTATCTGCCAGTTCGTTTGCAGACTCAGCCTGGCGTTCCAAAGAGGCCAAACTTTTTTGGTAGTAACTTCGTTGCAAATTTATTTGCTCCTGTACCAAAGTGGCCGTGTCGTTTTTTTTACCGGAGGTGAACGCCTCGGCACATTGCCATTGTCTGGCTCAATTGGCATAGGAACCACTGCCGCAGGTTCCACCACCGGTTGGGTAACCGTCTGTGTTGTTACCACACCAAAAGAGACAGCTGGAAGTGTGCAAACCCGTCAACTCGATCACTTTTTCCTCCAACTCATTGAAATTATGCATTCTGTTGGGTCCACCACCAGTTGCCCTCGTCTCTGCTTTATTTGCAGAAAGTATTCTTTTACCTAGAAATAGTTTTGATGTAAGGAAAACTATGATAAATAAATTTTGTGCTCTTAAAATTTTATCCGCGCCTTTTTCCAGCTGGATACATCTTTTGTCGGTGGGCCTAAGCTGTTTAGCTGCTGAGCGACGCTTTCCCAAAACTCCACTACATCCTCTTTTGCTCCTTTTGCGAAGCCGCGAGCAATGGCGGCCTTTCGGCAAGCATTCTACCATTTTTTCGTATTGCGACCGATTTGTTGTAATCTTCGACCTGATAATTTTGTAAATATTTAACAATAATCCATTTTTTTCTATTTACACTTTAACTTACATATTTTTTCCTTTACACACTTTATTTTATTGATATTTAAAAAAAAATCGCTTCGCTCCGACCCCAGTTGCTCTTCGTAGAAAATTTGCGACAAATACATACAAATGACAGCTACGTCAGATTCAGGCATACCAACATTACGAATTTCGAAGATGGTCTCCGAATTTCGAAATTACGATACGGCAACGCGGATTACAGCATACCAATTTTACGATTCGTAGCAAAATCAAATCTACGACGGATTACAGCATAGGGGTGTTAGTAACTATCGCGATACCAGACAAAAGTGCAAAAACTGTGGCTTCAGCTATTTTCGAAGGCTACATATTAACATACGGCACAATGAATTCTATTAGGACTGATTTAGGAACTGAATATAAGAATGAAATTTTTTCAGAACTTACAAAACTTTTAAATATAAAACACAGCTTTTCAACAGCAGATCATCACGAAACCGTTGGAACGATTGAACGCAACCATAGAGTTTTTAACGAATATTTACGCGCTTATTTGAGCGAAACATTTTCTGACTGGGACACTTATTTGAAATATATCACATTTTTACATAATACAACGCCTAATAATGTATTTGATAACCAATTTACTCCTGTCGAACTAGTTTGGAATTGCGAAACGGAAATATAGACCCGATATATAACATTGAAAACTATGCGAAAGAGGTTAAATACCGTATGCAAAAAGCACATGCAATAGCCAAAGACTTAGTCAATAAACATAAAGCCCGTAGTAAAGAATTATACGATAGACACTCTCGTCCAGTACAAATAAAACAACATGATCTAGTTTTAATACAAAAAGAGACCAGAGTCAAACATGAAAGTATATATCAAAGGCCACACGTGGTACAAAAAGTAGATGGTGTAAATGTTACGGTTTTCGACAAAACCAAAAATAAATTAAAAACGGTTCACAAAAACCACATCAAAAAGCCACATAACTTACTTTTGAATGAATTTAGTTAAAAATACTAGTAACCTTCAAAATCTGACCAAAAACGAATCAGTCACGTCACACAATATATAAATACAAACCATTACTATGGTTAGAAATTAAGCTGTAAAATTTATCAAAATATGTACATGTGTATTAACATGCCAGACTCATGAATTGTATTGAAAAAAAAAAATTTTTAATGTATGTATATCATTTAAATAAAATTTTGGCTTAATAAATCATACACAGCTCGGACAAACAATAATATATGTGTAAGCGCCAATCTATTATTATTATTAAATCATACACACAAATATGTTTTATATGGCATTAATTTAACACAATAGTTACATTAATAACAAAAAATAAGTAAATTAGTAGAATGCAAAAAATGAATATGTATTAATTTCTATACAAATAGACATGTAAACCCATAACTACAAATCCATATATTACATACAATTAGCAAATCAAAAACAAATACAACTTTTAATCTCATACTTATGTATTTTCGTTAATATGAAATTGATATTTTAAATTAACACAATTATCTCTGTAAATATAATAATATTGTTAAGTATTTAACATGCGTTTTTGAACTCTATATCATAGCTGAAGATTGATATGGATGAACGAGTTAAAAGGGGGAAGGAAATAAACTTACAATATTATATTAATAATAAATATCTCGTTCCTCCCTATCAATTTTGCATTGCCCTTGAATCGAACGATTCTTGCAAGCCTGACCACCTTGCAAAAATCTTTTCTCAAGGAGGGTGATGTAATGGCATCGCTAACAATACGGCAGCGTTATTCAGCGCCGTCTTAATGTTGGTAGCCCTGTTGGAACACACGTTGCACAGGTACATAAAACCGAGTGAAAAAACGAATGTTAATTCAATTCGATAAATGCCATCAGCTTAGCCGGTTGTGCCAAAATTTGTGAAATAAAATAAATTAAAAAGTTAAGTTGTAACCCAACCAAATACTCGTGTCTTTATTCAAGCGAAGTAGTTTTCGGTCGTGAACAATTAAATACAAACAATTCTTTTTTTTATCTACAAATCAACCGTATGAAAAATACGGAGAGCGCTACCCCACAAGAAAAAGTAGCCTGCAGCAGAACCACCAGACCAGTAGCAGCAGAAATTAAGGGACCGCAAAAACTACCGGTGCCCCTCAACGAAGGCCCAAGGAGTTTGGAAGCTTTACTCCAGCAAGTTCCCGGTAAGATAATTGAGTTAACTTTAATGAGCGGGCTGAGGGCCCAACATGGTAATAATATTCCACCTTAAGTAGAGCTACAAAAAAAATGGCTTCATTTGGCCATCTTCAAGCTTTGTGGGCGATAAAAATGTTCAATTTAGAGTTTTTGGGCTGAGAATCATGTTGCACTTTTTTGCATTTTTTGAATAATGGGATTTTTTTTTATAAAACTTCCACGTGTGTTTTGCCATGCTTTTCGTTGTTTGAAGCAGATGCAAAAAAAACTGCTCTTTTAAATATTTTGTGCGTAATATTATTAGAGGGAGCAAATCCGCAAAATAAAACAACTAATAATAGATTGGCGGTTACACATATGGTAGTGTTTCGCCGAGCTTCTCCTCCGATTTGTGGCGTGCGCCTTGATGTTGTCACACAAAGCGAAGGGACCTACAGTTTTACGCCGACTCCGAACGGCGATTGTATTTTTTTGAGAAGCTGTTTTTCATGGCAGAAATACACTCGGAGGTTTGCCATTGCCTGCCGAGGGACGACCGCCGTTAAGAAAAAAACTTTTTCTATATTTTTTGCGATGTTGCTTTGATCAGGGCTTGAACCCAGGCGTTGCAGAGTGGAAGCGCGCACTGCTTACCACTACACAACAGCGGCCGACATAACAACTACATAAAGGAAATAGCAAGAATGATATGCAACTACGTAGGCGAAAAATGCATTTTCGCATTTGGGCGGCTCGACCCTATTAAGCTAGCATTTCAGGGTACTATTTTATATATATATAAGGAAATTTTGAAAGTTAGGGGGGGGGGGCGGCTCGAGCACCCCCCTGCCCCTACCTGGCTACGCCCATGGAAATACACCTTGTAGTCATAAAGTGGGCGGTGTCACGCAGTATTATTTATTGTTACGAGATTGGTGTAAGTATTAACTTGGAGTAAATTAGCGTCTTCAATTATTGAAATATCAGAGTTTCCGTATTTCTGAAATTTACCGTTAGACATACGGGAAGCGAATGTAATTTTGGTCCGATTTGAATAATTTTCAACGAATTGCTTTTCCGTACCAGGTTTATTAAATGCACCGAGTTTGGTAGAAATTGATAAATCGGTTACCGAGTTACACATTTGTGGTCATAAGTGGGCGGCGCCATGCCCATTATCCAAAAATGTATCATAATCTAATTTTCTGCTGAGTGGTTATCGCGATCATCGATTTTAATTAGATTTTCAACAGATTTCTAGACCCTAAATAAGGCTCGTACCGAGTTTGGTGAATGGGCTACTGAGATACAGCATTTCATAATAGGTGGGCGGGGTCACGCCCATTTTACAAAAATTTCACAATAAAAAATTTTTCAAAAATTCTACTTCGCATACTAATTTTGAACAATTTGCATCCAATATTTACTGAAATATCGTAGTTTTTGCATCTTTAGGAAATACCTTTATATCGGAAATGGGCGTGGTTACATTCCGATTCGCCCATTTTTAATAATTTACCTTGGATAAATGGAAACCTACATACCAAATTTCGTTGAGATATCTCGAGTTATCGTGTACACGGACAGACGTGTATATATATATTTTTGAGTTTTTTGGACTTAGCACATTTGCGTACCAATGCATAACAACATGTAAAAACGACATTACGGTAATTTTCTTTTTTGGTAATGATATATTTTCAGTTATGCTATCTTACTGCATCAAAATCTCAATTTACATAAAAAGTGGACTTAGCACGTTTGCGAACTAAGCCAACGATATAGCAAAAACTAAACAAATTTTTTAAACACAAATTTTTTCCGCTAACGTAGGGCTGCCAGGTGTCCTGGTTTTCCAGGATTTGTCCTGATTTAAACAAGTTGTCCTGGTGTCCTGGTCTACACTTAAATTTTCCTGTTTTTTTAATGAAGGTCAATGCAGACTCCCATCTAATTTTTAGCAGATTTTTGCTTTGAAAAAAAGTTAAGCATTCTGTCATTATTAGTCGAAAATCAATAATGAAAAATTTTTTCTAACATGTTGAACAATATCTAACGCAGTAGATAATTTAAGGAGTTAAAATCTCTTCCAAAAGCCCTTACTGAAAGTCATTCCTTCTTTCTCCTTCCTTTTTTGTATGGAGTGACACAAATTGAAGGGCTTCTGTAGGACGTACTTCTGAAGGTCTTTTGAATAAGTTCTTTTAAAGCTGTTTTTAGTTCATAAAAGTTATACTTCTTTAAGGAATTTAAATATTTAAGGTTCAGATCAAATATGTTTTATAGAGACTTAAAATGCTTATTGAATCCTATTTGTAATTCTCAATAATATAAATATATATTTACATTCGCGTAAATTGTAAATAGGAAACCCCTTTCTAGGAAGCATTCAGGGAAGCACTTTTTTCAGTCCTTATTGGGTAAGTCTTTTAGAATGGCTTCACTTCAGACAGCCTACCTGAATTATCTGTAGGTTATGCATATACAAAATTACAAAAATGTCCATGAAGCGCATTGTCGGATATGTGGGAATTTGCTAATTGTGGTAAGGCCACGTTAAAAGCTCCAAACATATTTCCAAATTCCGTCACCGTTCTTTTATGATTAAAAAAAATTCAGAACTTGAGCATTTCATCATCATCAATCATTCAGCTCTACGGATTGTGCCACAAAACTAAATTGCTTATATATCAGAAAATACTTCAAAATAATGCAACGCCAGAACCAAAGAAACTGTATTTATAGGGAATAAGTGTCCTGGTCGATGGGATCAGGATTATGGCAGCCCTACGCTAACGCCATATTGGATCTGCCATTTTCAATTTCAAAAATCTGACCTCAGATCTTAAATCATCGAATTCGAGAACCGCCCTTAAATATAAGTTATTGGTGCAAAAAAAAATTATAAAATATTGGATTCGCCATTTTAAATTTACAAAATCAGATTCGAAATCAGCGCCCTCGAAAACTCCCTATTTACATGAGTTTGAGTTGAAAAGGAAAAAATTTAAAATTCGGTCGCCATATTGCATCCGCAATTTTAAATTCCAAAAATCTTACATCAGATTCGAAATCAGTGACCTTGAAAACCCCGCTTATGTATAAGTTATTGATGAAAGGGAAAGGAGTATAAAATTTGGTCGCCATACTGGATCCGCCAATTTGAATTTCGAAAATCTGACATTATATTCGAAATCAGCTACCTCAAAAACCCCCAAACATTAAGTTTTAAATCAATTTGGTTACTTCTCGACTTTTGGCCGGCAAATGATAGTCGCCAGACCATAGTGCATTGGTCTGAAAAGACTTATGGCGTTTTCGTTTCTACAAAAAATTTCGCCTCTTAATTGCCCGGTTTTTAGTGTTTTGGCTTAGAAAGCAATGAGAAGGTAGAATTTTTCGGCAGAAAAGAAAACGCAATTAATATTAAAATGTATAATCCAACAAAATCAAAAGTAACAAGTAAGAAAGTCTAAGTTCGAGCGGAGCCGAACATTAAATACCCGGCGCAGGTACTAAGTATATGATTTTCACCTTTCCGAAACTTACCGCTAGATGGTAAGCCGGGGTGTATCAATTTTGAGTAAATTAGCGTCCTTAAATTTCGAAATATTGCAGTTTCAAGCATTTCTGAAATTTACCGTTATATGAAAAGCGGCCGTAATTTTAGTCCGATTTCAACAATTTTCAACGGTTTTCTTTTATGTAGCAAGCACAATAACCATACCAAGTTTGGTACAAATTGGTAGAACGGTTACCGAGATACATATATGTGATCATAAGTGGGCGGTGCCACGCCCATTTTCCAAAACTTTATCATATACGTATTTCCTGGTAAATAATTGTTGCAAGCATCAATTTTGAGTAAATTAGCTTTAATATTTATTGATTTATCTAAGATTTCGTATTTCTCCAAATTACCGTTATATGGGAGGTAGGCGTGGTTATTGTCCGATTTTAAAACTTTTTGGCCATTTTGTATGCTGTAGTAAGACTAACAACTGTGCCAAGTTTGGAAGAAATTGGTGCAGCGGTTACCAAGATATACACATGTAACCATAGGTGGGCGTGGCTACGCCCATTTTCCAAAAATTTATAATATTCTTAGGTTTTGTCTAAAAATTGTTGTAAATATCAATTTTGAGTGAATAATCTTCAGTAGTTACTAAAATATCGCAGTTTTCGTATTTCGGAAAATGACCTCCCATAGGCGTGGTTATTGTCCGATTTTGCCCATTTTCAATACCAAATACCATCCGTCCTACGCCGGAAGGAAGTTCACATACCAAGTTTCGTTAAGATATCTCAATTATTACTCGAGTTATCGTGTGCACAGACGGACGGACAGACGGACGGACGGACGGACGGACGGACGGACGGACGGACAGACGGACGGACAGACAGTCACCGCTTAATCGATTTCTCTTTTCATTCTGATCATTTATGTATACATTTGTCTATATCTATCTCGATTCGTTTTGCCTGTTACAAACAACCGTTATGTGAACAAAGTTATAATACCCTTGTGCACAAGTGCGCTCGGGTATAAAAAATAGTAGCAGCTCCAACCCAGCAAACAAAAAAAATAGTAGTTTATTGCTTAGCTGCACATCCTTCTTTGCACGAAAAACTTGTGCGCTTAACCGAAAAAAGCACTTAAGCGAATTTTCTTTACTACTTCAATGAGGAAGGTATCCGAATCCCTATGAAAGCAAATAATGGAAGAGCACGTACCACGTAGAAATAACTGCAAGCGAAATTTTTTCCGAATGGTATCTTATTATCTATACAACTACATAAAACGATACCCGATTTCGTTGTTCTGCGAGATGAGCAAAAGCTTGTGAAATTAGGGTAAGTGTAGAGCCAGTGTAGGTAAACGTAATACTTTCTTTGATAATTGATAATAGTTGCGCAATTTTTAAGGCAGGTATCGCTAAGCATAAAGGCAGCAAAGCAAAATATATGTACTCACCTCTCCTCGTTGAATTATTATGTCATGGGGTTGCCAGGCATTCATAAAAGATGAGAAATAATCTGTGATATGTTGGCCATGGAAGCTAAATCCAATTAGTGTAAACACGATAATTTTCAATGGTGAAAGATACAGATACGTCTGATATCGTGAACGATTGCGTCGGTATGTTTTTAATATATGTGCTGAAATTTTTAAATAATTTAAAAGTTACATTAAAAAATTAAATTCACATGGTACATAACATTTTTCTTTCACTAACTCGTTAATTCGACATCAGCTTGAAACCTTCTAAATTCTAACAATTTATCTAGCAACAAATATTATGTCTGTTTCCTTCAATTAAGCTAACTAGTTTTGTCTGTTGAGTTTAGTTTTTGAATTTCTTAGGGCCGTTTTCTGAAGTAACCTTTACCTTTAAATATAACTTTATGTTTAAAGGTTGGTTTCAAAATAAAGTTATTTCTAAAGTTAAGCATTTCTATTATCGGTATGACGGATGTATGTTTCTTGGTTGTAAACCAATTTAAAACCGATAATAAAATTCTTTACTTTAGACACAATCATATATTTTAATGCAACCTTTAAATATAAAGGGAGCTTTAAAGTTACAGGTTACTTGAGAAAACGGCCCTTATATGCCCAGCCCAGTTTTGCATGTTGTCTGTGTCAATTGCAGTGGTACCAATAGCAACATTATTTCAGAGTTTCATGGAAAGCATAAAATAAAAATGGAAGCAATAAAACACCTGTTTGAGGTAACATTATCGAGTGACACAAGCTTAACTAGAAACACAAAATTTATGATATCAATTTCGTAATGAAAATTATACGCATTTTTAACTGCCCTGGAAACTGACGGAAAATATTTTTATTCATACGAATCGTTGCTAAAGTTCTTATTTTTTATTTTGTGGTTCTAAGAGTAGACAGAAACTTGCAACGTTCCGAATAAATAAAACTATTTTCAGTCAGTTTCCAGGGATGTTTCATAAGTTAAAACACTATCAGCTGATTTCCAAAAAATTTCTACAGCTGAGATCATCTGTTTTTTGGCACTTGTTCGTTTCTTTTACAATTTCACTCATTTCTATTACAATTTCTTTTATTTCTATTACAACCCTGCAGCAATTATTTAGAGACAGTCTGGCAAAGCGCTAGTTCTGCCCTACAAATTTCAGAACTGTCTCTGAACTACAGCAAAAGGGATGCAGAGCTGGACGGTTGAAACTCATGTGGTGCTAGTTGCGCTGTCATCAATGGTACTCGTCCTGCTCATATGTAAGCTGACAAAAGATACAAAAATATACCATACTATATTTTTTCGATTTTCTTAGACCCAAAAACTAATAGCCAGGGTTAGGATTTTAAGGCACCAAAAACTTGAAAAAAGGCAAAATGAGCTTTCAAAAAAGGGAAAAAATGCATACATTTTTTAATTTTGTTTTATACATACTTTTAGTACAATGTAGATATGTATATGTATGTATCCAACTAAATATATAAAAAAATACATACAGTGGTCAAAAAATTATAGCCGCACCGCTTTTTGCTAAGTTTTAACATATTATTTTTGTTGCTATTTAATTTTGGTTATTTTTATAAAAATATAGTTCATTCTTTAACAAAACCCTTTTAAATCCAAGTTTCCAGATTTTTACAATATTCAAAAACTTTCGTAAAAATTTCGAGCTGTTTTAAAAATTCTAAAAAATGAACCAAAAATTATGCCCATTTGAAACTTGTAATTTATTCTACTAGAATTAAATGGGCTACAAAACTACATACTCAGAATCTTTCTATGAAATCTAATTGAAAAATCTCGAAATTTATACGAAATTTTGTTGAATTTTTTTTGTGGGTAAAAATAAAAAAAAATTGGGACCACAATTTTTTTATAATCACACAATTGGTACAATACAGCGAACTTCTATGAAGAGATAAATATTAACAAGTAAAAAAGTTTAAGTTCGGGCGGAGCCGAACATTGGATACCCGGCGAAAGTATCAAATTTTTTCACCTTTCCGAAAACTACCGCTACATGGTATACAGGCTGCATCCCTACTTCAAACATCTTCGAAAAACTTATATAGTTATATGTGGGCGGTATCACGCCCATTTTCCAAAATTCCATAATAATGCTACTTCTTTTCAAGGGATTGTGGTTTGTATCATTTTTGTGTACATTAGCGTCCTTAAATTTCGAAATATCGAAGTTTCAAGCATTTCTGCAATTTATCGATATATAAAAAGTGGGTGTTAGTTTAGTCCGATTTCAATAATTTTTAGCGTTTTGCTTTTATGTGGCAAGCACAATAACCATACCGTACATATTGGTCAAACGGTTACCGAGATACATATATGTGATCATCAGTGGGCGGTGCCACGCCCATTTTCCAAAATTTTATCATAAACGTATTTTGTGCCAAAGAATTATCAATTTTGAATAAATTAGCTTTGGTATTTACTGATTTATCGAAGATTTAATATTTCTCTAAATTACCGTTATATGGGATGTGGGCGTATTTATTGTCCGATTTTAAAAATTTTCAGGTATGCTGTACCAAGACCAACAACCGTGCCAAGCTTGGGAGAGATTGGTGGAGCGGTTCCCAGGATTTACACGTGTAATCACAAGTCATAATGTTCTTATTTTTAGCCTAAAAATGTTTTTAAATTTCAATTTTGAGTGAATAAGCTTCAATAGTTACTAAAATATCGCAGTTTTCGTATTTCTGAAAACTACCGTTATATGGGAGGTAAGCGTGGCTATTGTCCGATTTTGCCCATTTTCAATACCATCCTTCCTTCGCCGAAAAGAAGTACACATACCAAATTTCGTTGAGAAATCTCAATTTTTGCTCGAGTTATCGTGTACGCGGACAGACGGACATGCAGACATGGCTTAATCGACTTCTCTATTCATTCTGAGCATATATGTATACATTTATATATATCTATCTCGATTCGTTTTGGCTGTTACAAACAACCGTTATGTGAACAAAGTTAATATAACCTTGTGCATAAGTGCGCTCGGGTATAAAAAGGCAAAACATGCAGAAAAGGCAGAAAAAGGCAATATAGTCAAAAAACGCAAAATTAAAATATAAATTTCTAATGAAGAAAGACATGAAACGTGTGATTATTTAATTTGTTTACAGATACAACTAAGCAGAGAAAATAGGCAAATGCCTTAAAATGCTAACCCTGCTAATAGCAAACTGTGTTCGTTTATTTAATATGTAATTCCCTAGTTTATGGGGCAACGGCTAAAATATTTCCAATGAAAAATATAACCATAAAATTTAGTTAAGCTACACTTAACAGCAAAAGTCTCCGTCCACTATTTTATTTTTAAGTATTCACAATATATTGAGAGATATAATATTTGTTTGGTTATTATTTTATAAAACAATTGATCATGCTTAAGACAAAATCATATAAATCCAGTTTCAAGCTTTATACAAAACGAAGGAAAAATCAACGATTTTTCATCAAAATTTTCGATCTTTTAATCAGATTTAAAAAAATAAACAAAAGTGGTAAACAATCTCGCTTTGAAATGGGGGTGCTATTGATATGTCCGATACTGTATACTTAAATATACCTATCACTGCGCACCCAAAATGTGTAGTTAGTTAAGCACTGAGTTTTTTTAATTTCCAATATTTTTAATTTTAATTGAATTTAATTAATTAATTTTCGTAATTCATATTCAATTACCAATTCACAAAATATATGCAATAAATTAAAACTTTGGGTGTCTTCACATCCATTTCGGTAGTTTTGGTAAACTGCTGGTTGTTCCTCGATAATTTTATCAACTGTGAACGTCCTTTTCAGCTAACTTTTGTTAGTCTGATAAACAGTCATTTACTTAAAAAAAGGTAAAATTACTATTATCTTTTAATATTTTCTCTTAGTTTGTACTTGAATTTATGTTTAGGTATGCTCAGCGTTCACAGAAGTTTTGTGGAAAAAACAAAAATTAAATCATCACTGAAACAATTTATGGATTTGCATTTTTAAATAAACAAGTACCTAATTTTTTAGCAAAAAACAAAACCGTCTTCCATTCTCATGTGAAACTTTAAAATTACCGTTAATTTCTTCATAATACAATAATCGGATCTAAACAAAATTAGGATGGGACCACCTCTGAGGTACCACCTTTCCTTTAAAAAGGAATTATCGAAATCGGTTATGCGGTAACATATGTACATAAAAAAATATTCCGGCGAATAGATACCCTCCTTTTTTTGAGGTCGGTTAACAATAGCCGTGTTTTATTTGTCCAGAAATTTAGGCTATTAGCTTATTTTGTATGGAGGACTTACCCAACATAATTATATTGGCTTATGAAAAGCTATCTTGGCTTGTATATTGAACAAGAGCCATTGCCATTCAGCATCAGAAATTTTCTCCTTCAGCCAATCAGAAAGATGCAAAAACTTACTTTGACACTATTTGCAGTCAAACAACTGTAAAAATTAGGCTAACATAGGAAATAAGCTAATTTCGTTTTATTTGACCAAGATTTAGCTATTTGCTTGTGATGGGTGAATAAAACATGCCTAATGATGAATAAATTACGATTTTGGTGTAAAGAAGTCGCATTTTAAAATTTCCATACAATTAAGGTAACGATCAAATTTGTATTTTAACTCTTCAATAAGTTCATAATAAACTTTATGCAATATAAATTCCTTTGCAGGGCTCGATACAGCTCAATTGTTACGCTAACAAGTAATTTTTAAACAAAGAACACAATGGACTTCAATTCTCATATAAAAATTTACAAGTTCCGTTAATTTCTTCATGATCAAATGATCGGATCTAAACCAAATTAGTATGGGACCTCCCCTGAGGCACCAGAAAAAGAATTATCAAAACCGGTTAATGCAGTCCAAAGTTATCCGGTAACATACATTAAAAAATATTCCCGTGAATTGATAACCTTCTCCTTTTTGAAGTCGGTTAAAAAGAGAAAAATTAATGAGATAAATTACTATAAATTTTTAATAGCTATATTTTATCATTTCTAATAAAATTTACATTAAAAAAATCTCAGACCCCCTCCCCCCTTTAATTATGCTCTGCGTACGCCCATGAACATTTCAATACATTTAATACAATTTAACGCTGAGTTATCACAAATAAGCATTCAATACATCACCGTTTTTT